AAAAGTGGTTGCACCCGTATACATTCTCATCAGCATACTGTACATCTTCACCAACATTTGGTGTGGTCAGTCCTTACAATTTTAGACACTCAAATAGGTGTGTAGTGGGATCTCAATATGATTGCATTTCCTTAATGACTACCTAATTTTGAGCATCTTTTCATGTGCTTATTTTTTAATGTCTGTTTTGGTTGTTTTCAGATCTCATCCATTTTTTGCCGAGTTGTTTTTTATTTAGTTTTGAGAGTTCTTTATGTTTTTTTTTAATGTAAGTATTTTATCTGAATTATGATTTACAAGGATTTTCTCACAGTGAAAAGGCTTATCTTTTCATTCTCTTAATGGTGTAATATAAGAGTAGCAGTTCTCAATTCTGATGAAGTCCAGTTTTCTTTTATAGATCATGCTTGTATTGTTCTGTGTAGAATATTTTTGTATAACCATAGGTCATAAAGGTTTTCTTCTGTATTTTTTCTAAAAGTTGTATAGTTTTATGCTTTACATCTAGTCCTAGGATCCATTTACTCTACGAGCTTTTGTATATGGTGTAAGATCTGGATGAAAGTGGGAAATGCATACAGATACCCAGTTTTCCAGTTCCATTTGTTGAAGAGACAGTTTCTTTCGTCAGATTTGGAAATATTTTGACTATTATCTCTTCAGCTTATTTTTCTATTCCTGTTTCTCTTGCCCTTTGATGCCATCACTTCCACATATATTAGGCTCCTTGAAGTTATCCCCTTGCTCAGTGATAGATACTCTGTTCATTTATTTCAGTCTTGTTTCTTCCCTGTTTTGTTTTTTTTTATCTTAATTTCTAATTGCTATGCCTTCAAGTTTACTAATCTTGTTTTCTTCAATGTCTTCAATCTGTTAATCACTTCTGGTATACTTTTTCATCTGAGATATTTGGGGTTTCATCTCCAGAAATCTAAATTGAGTCGTCTTTATATCTGCCATGTTTCTACCCAACATGCCCAGTCCTTCCTCTAGTTTCTTGAACATAAGAATATAATATGTAAAGTTAAAAATAACTATTTTAATGTCCTTTTCTACTAATTCTATCATATTTATCATTCATGGATCACTTTTTTCTTCTGTATCATCAATTGATTTTTCTCTACATTTTAGATTATGTTTTCCTGCTTATTTGCATGCCTGGTTATTTTTGATTGGCTGTCAGACATCACAAATTTTACCTTATTAAATGCTGAATATTTTTGTATCTTAGAATTTTTCTTAGACTCTTCTAGGGTATTTAAGTTACTTAAGAGCAGTTTAATCCTTTCAGATCTTGCTTTTTAAGCTTTAGGTGCAGCCAGAGCAGGATTAAGTCTAGGGCATAATCCTTCTGATTACTCAATGCCTCATGAATTATGAGACTTTTCCACTCACCTTGATGAGAACAGAAACTATTCCTGACCCTGTATGACCTGCTGATATTGCTACCTATTGTGCTGGTTCTTTACGTGAATTTGAGTAGTTCCCTTATACCCATGCACAGATCAGTGCTCTGCTGAAGACTGAAGGAAGCACTTTGCAGTTCTTGAGTCCTTTCTCTGTGCAACCCTTTCCTCACTGATTACTCGGTTCTGTACACTGTAGCCACCCGATCTCCCTGGTCACCCAGCTCATCTCCTCAACTTGGAGACTGCCAGGCTCCACCTAGATTCTTCCTTCCTGACTTGCAACGTGGAAATTTTTTTTTATGCAGTTAGCTAGGGCATCTGAATAGTTCACCTTGTTTTCATTTTTTAGGGATTGCTGACTTCATTGTCTGATGTATTAAAAAGTGGTTTGTAAAATTTTGTCTGATATTTTAGTTGTTTCAGGCTGGAGGGGCCTTTATTCCTTCATCTTAGTCACAAGTGGGAGTCCTCTTTTATCTTGTATTACAATAAGAAATTAATTTTTAAATAGGTGAATCATTCCCATGTTTCAAAATACAAGAAATATATGTAGGTATTCAATTGAAATCTCTCTTTCAAAAAATCCACTGTCAACCTAGTCCTTACTCCCCATAAGAAACCATGCTATTATGGGGCACCTGGGTGACTTCATTGGTTAAGCATCAGACTCTTGATTTCAGCTCAGGTCATGATCTCATGGTTCGTGGGGTCAAGCCCTGCATTGTCAGTGCAGACCGCTTGGGATTCTCTCTCTCCTTCTCTCTCTGCCCCTCCCCTACTCATACTGTCCTCCCCTCCCCCCCAAAATAAATACACTTTTTTTTTTAAAAAAAGAAACCATGCTTTTTAGTCTTTCTAGAGTTTTAGCCACTTACCTGTTGTTAAACAATTAGGTTGCTTCTAATCTTTGGCTATTAGGAATAATTTGGTAGTTAATAGTCTTGTATGGAGGTCATTTTGCATATGTCTGAGCAACATTGCTGTTTAATACATTCCCAGAGGTGGATTACTAGGTCAGAGGATTTTTGCATTTGTAATTCTGATAGCTTTTGTCAAATTGTTCTCCCAATGGATTAAACCAGATCTTCCATCAGCCTGTTAGGAAAATGCCTGTTGGACCATAGTCCTATCTACAGAATGTTATCAAGTGTTTGGATTTCTGCTAATCTGACAGGAAGAAAATGTTATTAAAATACAGTTCTCTTGTGTTTAAAAGCTATTTGTACTTCCTGTTCTCTGTTTCATCTACTTTAGATTATTGGTCATTCAGTTTTTTCTTTAGTGATAAGAATATGAGATTCACATATTTTAGTAGGTTGTGTTTAGTAACTTAGTAATGAATGAACCATTAATGTATGGTCTATAGTAAAACACTTTACAGTTTACTTAATAAAATGTAATTATACTAAATCTAGTTAAATCTCTGATGACTTTTAAGGTCATTACAAAATGTTTAGATAAAAACCTGGGTTAATTTTCAGATAGATTTTTAAAATTCAAAGTAAAACCAGGTTAATCTGAGATTTTGAGCATGAAAGTAATGTTCTAAAATTAGTTTAATAAATGAAAAAATAAGAATTGTTCTCTTTTAGAAACCTTTTTACATCTGAGTGATGTGTTTTGTTCCACAAATAATGACATTTCCAGAACAATTTGGGAATAGGGGAATAGATATTTGAAATTTGGGCTATCTCAGAAAGTCTGAATTTATGGTTACAAAATGTATGTTGTCCCACAGATAAGAATGAAATTCCTAGTTAGATGGCAGCATGCTCTTACTATTCATTTGGTGTAGCTTTCTTGAGAAATAAAGAGTATCCAAGTATTTTTACACTTTGCATACCCATCCTTTTGCTCTGCCTCATCTCAAGCGCCTCTATCTTTTTGCTTCTGTCATTTATAATTTTCAGGGATTATACCCTATGGACAATTAATTAGGGGAGTAGTTACTTTACCAAAGAGTGAGGTAATAAAATGGTCCAGTAGTTTGTTTATGTTTTGTTAATTAATTTAGTTTAAAGTCTGGCTTTATTTATGCAATGAAAAATATATTTTTAGAGTTGCATCAATATGGAGAGGCATCCAGCACACGTCCGTCAGGTATGATGTCATTCCAGGACATTCTCTGGTACTCCAGTTTTTCTGTCTTATCAGCCAACTAAATTTACCTTGATTAAATAAACTTAAAATTTTGGGCTTTTTTTTTTTTTTTCCATTGCCAAAACATTGAGCTGCATGCCATTGTCAATTTAGCCAGTTGTCACATTTTAGCAATCTTAATATTGTTTGTATGCTTGCTTCTTCAATATTTCTAAAATTGTGTATCAAAAGAATTATTGGCTTTCTGAGTTGTTAAACAATATTTAGACTTTACAGAGTTATTGAAAATGTTCTGAATGCGTTCTCTCAAAATCATCTAATTGTAAATAACTAAAATTTTGTCACATGTACCCAGACTTAGTTACTTCTAAATGATTTTAATATGCATCCATCACATTGCATTTTACCCCACTAATATTATGTATCTGCTTGTGTTACCTGAATATCTGGTTTGGTTACATTTGTAAAAGTATGATAACATTGCCATTTTTACTAATTTTGTGCTTTTCTGCTTGTTACAGTTTACCTGATTAATGCCAGGTCATTTCTTCAGTAAATAACATTTGAATTTTTATAAATATGCATGAAAAGTTTTAAGAATATAATCATTCTGAAATTGCCATCAAATACTGAAAATGCTTAATAGAATTTCAAGTGAATAAGCAAAATATTCCTTTGATTGGAGATAATAACTAATAGTGGTAACTGGCATACTTTTATTAATAAAATATATTTTAAAGAAATATTCAATGAATATTTCAATGAATTTAAATTGGGAAGTAGTTTCAAGTCTTTTTCAGTATTTTTCTTACAATTAATTTAATGCTAAGTATTTAAATTAGAGCAAGATGATTTCAAAAAAAAATATTTTCCACCCTTGTTTTGGCCAGTGTAAATCTGTGTGATTAAAAACTATATATTACCAGTGATGAAAGCTGGTTTTTAATTTTTTTTTTTTTTTTTTAAGTTACTAACTGTATTTCAGGTCTGACTCAACATTCACTTTCATTGTTTAACTTTGGTTTCAGGGCTCTTTCATAAAGTCAGTCCTAAAAGAAAAAAAAAAAGGTCCTAATGTACCTGAAATATATGCCTTAAATCAGCTGCATATATTGTTTCTGGACATTAATCAGAAAGTAGCATTTAATTGTATTCAAAATTATGCAACATTATTTAGAAAATCATGTGAAAAGATTGAGGGAAAGTGTAAGAATGGTGGAGTAAAATGATTGTCAAACTCTGTTGATTTAAAATTAGAAGTTAAAATAGAAACAAAATGTTAATTGTAGTACTAATGTTTATTTTTTTCTTTTCTGATACCTAAGTATTAATGTCTAGAAATTGATTTCTATCTGAATGAAACCAGTTCCTTAGTTGAAGTACTAAATGCATTGTCAATTACAATTAAATCCCAGTTATTTGAAAAAGATTTCAAAAATCTAGTGACAAATGATACACCTATACTATCTTAAATTGTGCTATGTGTTTTAGGTATTTGTGAAATGTCATTTTGATTATAATCCATACAATGATAACCTGATACCCTGCAAAGAAGCAGGATTGAAGTTTTCAAAAGGAGAAATTCTTCAAATTGTAAACAGAGAAGATCCAAACTGGTGGCAGGTTAGTATGCTTCTCATAATTTCCTCAATTGCTTTTTTATTTTCAATCTTAGATCTGGCCAATAGCTGAATATTCAGGAAGAAGGTATTAGCATTTGTTCCAATGATTTTTCCCACATGAACAGCTCCTGCTTCATGGCTGCTAATTTTGTGGACAGAAGATCAAATTGAGAGGGAATTTGCGAGTAGCTGTTAATAAATGCAGAATTAATTAGCCTGTGGAGATATTCCATTGGTTTAGGGATCAGAACAGTTGGTTCTTCCACATCAATGATTGCAGTAAAATATGATATTGGGGTCATCCCTTCTCAGTGTTTGTTTTTGCTTGTCTTAACTAGAAGTGTTATACTATGTGTATAGTAGCGTCTCTCTCATGTCCTCTCTCTGTATGTACATTCATGGCAAATAAAACATAGTTTCTTAAACTCTTAAATCTGTTTCCCCACCTGTTCTCAGTTATTGTGAAATGAAGGTTTGCTTTATGATCAGTGTTAGTTGGTCATGGATTGAAATCTGTATATGTGGAAAGGGATGTGTGTTATCACCGTATTTTCCCCACTTCATTTCCTTTTTTTCTTTTTTATGTTTATTTGTTTTGAGAGAGAGAGTATGTGCAAACAGGGGAGGGGTGGAGAGAATGAGAGAGAGAGAGAGAGAGAGAGAGAGAGAGAGAGAGAGAGAGAATCCCAAGCAGGCTCCATGCTCTCAGAACAGAGCCTGACACAGGGCTCGATCTAACAATCTCGCGAACCCTGAGATCATGACCTGAGCTGAAAAATCAAGAGTCAGTCATTTAACCCACTGAGCCATGCAGGCACCCCACCTCTGCTTCATTTTCTAAAGATCTGTGTGATCATGTTCTTTTTCCTTTCCCCTAATACAGCTTTCAGAAATCTCTAGCAGGAGTAATAAGTCTGTTTTTGTAATTGCTGACACCAGCTAACAACCACAGTATTCAGAGCTGGAGAAACTGACAGATCAGAAAGCTTAAAATTCCTTGAACTGTCTCATTGAAAAGCAAGGTATATGAGGAAGGGACCCAAGACCCACCTCTAAACTCTAAGTGGAGATGGTAGTAACTCACATTAACTCTGAATAGTTATATTGACTTCTAAGGGGGAATGAATAATAAGAATGAAGCCAATCTTACTAATGTGTCCTTAAATTTAAATTAAGACATTATTATGTGCAAGCGCACTGTGAGGTGAGAGAACCAAAAAACAGATAAACAGAGTCTGTAATCTTGAGAGGTGTCCACTGAATTTTTTAGAACTCTCATCAAAAAACTTTCTGTAGCTGTTTCCTTTATTGAACTCTTGCAGGAGTCCTCCTTTTGGGGAATGTCCTCTTTTACTCTCTTCTCATACCGTCACCATTATTTCAGTCCCTTCTTGCATTTTGTTTTAATATCTTTACTGACAGTGCCATGGATTTAAATCTCAAGGTCAGCTTTTAAGAGCAAATGTGGTATATTGTTACTGACTATTGATTGTCCTACTTATTAGAATATGGTCTCAAATTTTGGTCACTGAAATATACAATTCATTCATTTGATTCTAGGCTAGCCATGTAAAAGAGGGAGGAAGTGCTGGTCTCATTCCAAGCCAGTTCCTGGAAGAGAAGAGAAAGGCATTTGTTAGAAGAGACTGGGACAATTCAGGTGATGAGCTTAACACAATGTGTAACAAGTAGTCCTTTGTGGTTACCTTTCTTTGCCTCTTTCCTCTGAATCAGCAAATGAATTTATTTAAAATGCATCTAAAATAATCCAGCCCCTGTACTTTATTTTAATGCCCTCAAAAGTAAACTCTTTGATCCCTTTCTGCCACCTGCCGGTATAGTATCAGAATTCAGTGGCTCAACTCACTTCTGCCCCCTTCTGCTGTGTAGGACACAACACTCCCACCTCTAGAATACCACAGAGCAGTTTTATCCTATTCCAACACACTGGTTTAAGTTATATTTGTCTTGTCATCCTTCAGGACCTTTTTGTGGAACCATAAGTAGCAAAAAAAAGAAAAAGATGATGTATCTCACAACCAGAAATGCAGGTATGTTTTAAATACTTTTTGAGAAGTCTGAGTGAGATAGCTTTATATCATTAATTAATATGGCATAAACTCTAAATAAATAATTTTAAAAGAAGCTAATTCAGATGAATACCCAATTTTAAGGGGCTGTCACTTGAACACATGGCCCAATATAATAGGGAGACATTATTTAAATCTCAATATGTCACCAGTGCGTTTTATTCTATAATTTACAATAAAATGAATTGGTTAGGATTTATGATTATATTAGTGAAGGAACAATCTTATTAAAACTTTCTTCAAAGAACTTTGATACTGATTTATGTGTCATTTTTTTTCTTTTTTTTTAATTTTTTTTTTAATGTTTATTTTTGACAGTGGGGGAGGGTGGGGCAGAGAAAGAGAGGAAGACATAGAATATGAAGCAGGCTCCAGGCTCCCGAGCTGTCAGCACAGAGCTGGATGTGGGGCTCGAACCACAAACAGTGAGATCATGACCTGAGCCAAAGTCGGATGCTTAACTAACTGAGCCACCCAGGTGCCCTTGTGTGTCATTTCTAAAGAAATGCCTTTATGAAGATATTAAAAGAGTTATGATTCAGGGCAACTCTATTCTGTCATCGCATTGTCCATGATACTTTTGGGAAAACAGTAGTAGACCAAACAAATCTTAGTCTGATATAGTAGGATTCTCTCTTAAATCTTTTAGACTTAAACGTGAATATCACAGTTACCATAGTTATTCTTTTCAGTTATAGAGGCAGATAGGAGTGAAATGCAGCTCTTTGAATGAAAAGGCTTTCTGAAAGAAATTGATAATTTTTTAAAGTACTTGCTAGACATCAGAGCTGCTTCTCTTCTGGTACTAAACTAAATAGCACACTCTAAAGGGAATAATAATAATAATAATAAAAGGGGAAAAGAGAGTCTCTCAATATTGGTTTAATCGGTGGAGAAATTGTGCAAATAAAGAGTTGCTGTTAAGATAATAACCTAAGGAAGAAGTGTTATCACTACAGATTGAGAGTTATAATACTAATGACAGGTAATATACTAGTTTAAATCCACTTTGGCTTTATTATTCATTAAATGTGTGTCCTTAAAGCTTTCTTGCAAAATAGAAAACTTGCAATTTTCTCGTTGACGAAGATTTAATTTTGGAGTATATTTTGACTGAAAATTGTTTGGATCCAAAATTTCATTTTGTACATAAATTCAGAATCTTAATGTTTAATTATCAATATGTTTGTCTGCATTTTGTTAATCCAACTAGTATTTGCTAAGTCAGCACATGGTATTTGTTCTTTGATATTTTTGGAAGGCCATACTCATTCTATGGGGCTTATTTAAGCAGTCACACTAGTTATACTTCTGTCCTTTATATCTGATATATAGTTTTTGGCTGAACAAATTATAAAAGATAATTTGCAGTTTGATTGTATATATTAAAAGAATTATTTCTATAACAAATTGATAAGAAACGTTTTAATGGATAGAATATATGGTGAAGATAAAACATGGCATTTTTGTAGCTTCCTTAGCCAAATTTTTAAGGGCAAATGGTTGAAAACAGATGTTTAAATCAAGATCAAAAATAATTTATTATACTTTACCAAATTTATAAAAAAATAAATCTATACTAAGTACAGTTCAAGTGATACTTGTCAGGACAACAAAGCCCTTATTGAACAGAATTGCAGACGTTTTTCATCCATCTAAAAGGTAAGTGAATATGATGATTTTCCATTTCCTTTTACATTTAGAATTTGATCGTCATGAAATCCAGATATATGAGGAAGTAGCCAAAATGCCTCCCTTCCAGAGAAAGACTTTAGTATTGATAGGCGCTCAAGGTGTGGGACGAAGAAGCTTGAAAAACAGGTTTATAGTGTTGAATCCCACTAGATTTGGAACTACAGTGCCATGTAAGTTTTTCTCCCTTTTCTTTGCTGTTTAATTGGCATCAAAGAGTAGGTGGGCCAGATTATTATTTTTTTTATTTCTAAATAATTTTTGATATGAAAGCAAATAGAAGATACTGGAAAACTCGATGACTCTACAGAGGTCTTGAAATAATGCTGTAGCCATGTTGGCTTGCTGCCTTGCAGCCCTTGTGTCTCCAAGCTCCTGAGTCCAGAGATGTCAGTTAAATGCAAGTACTAGGAGTTGTGGCAAAATCAGCATTCACTTTGTATTTTCTTGTACCACTGATGTCTATCTGAAAAGTTGTGTTTTTTACCCACATTAGCGTAAAGAAAAGAGGGAAATCTGCTGGATCCTCAGACACTTCCAGTGTGGCAATTCCTTTGTGAATTTTGTACGTTTTCTCTTGTAGCTCTGTCCTTCAAGGTTGTAAACCTGATTTTTTGATAGCACATCAACAGTGAGAATCTTCAGAGCAGGCAGCATTAATTAAGATTATAAAGGTTGACATATAAAATGAAAATACTGATAGGAGAAGTATAACCATTAAATGAGCCAAACATTCATTTTATCATCTTTGCATTTTTTCCCTATTTGCATATTTATATGGAAAGTTAAATAATGTCAGAAGTATGCTTCATAAGAATGGAATCACATTAAGGAGTTAGATGATATCATAGTCTTATTATAAGAACTAGTATACATTTGTCTTTATTTTGGATGTGTGTAGGCCTTTACATGTGGGAATTTACACGCTCTTTCCCCTGAACAATGCAGGAAACAAGCCAGCCTCACCTTCTATAACTCCCCTTTCTGTGCTGCTTTTGCTGACCAAGCCCCCTTTTGATTAACAGTATTTCTTTAGGTATATTAATGCCATTAAGCTGTTCTGAGCTAATTCTTAGCCTAATATCACTCCATCTCTTGTCGATGAATTTTCTAGTTTCTCTGCTTGCATCTAGTATGTTTTGAGGTTTAATTTTCAGTGAGTGATCTTAATGCTAAAACTTTTAGGGATTGGTTGGGGGAGTAATCGTGTACTATTTGTAATCCCTTTGGGGTAAGGCTTTGGATTCCATTGTAAGCACTTTATATCACTAAATTCAGACAAATACTGGTTAAATAGTTAAGAAAATAAAAACTTCGCTGTGACCAAAGTATTTTAAGTATTTTAAAGTGTTTTATTTTTCATTTTTGTCAAGTTAATACATGTACAGTATTTTAATCAAGTAGTTCTTAAAGATACGTAATAGATAAATTAACTTCCAGTCTTGCTGTATTCCACCTTTAACCTACTTACCGGAAACAGTTGCTTTTCATGTTTGTTGCTATTTATTTGGTTAGTCTTCCACATTTCTTAATAATGTCACCATTCTGTAATATCTTGCATTATCCAGTGTAGGCCTTATCTGTTGACTTGCTGACTCTTCCCAATATAAAAATAGGTCTAGTTTCAGTTCATTGCATTTTACTTTCTTGAACAGATTTTCTCTCCTTCCATCTAACAGTTTCTGGAATTCCTTTTTCCTTCCTGTCTTTACCTTGATTTTTTTGCATGTATGTGTATAAATTTGTTTTAAACCAAAGATTCATCCAGTAGGTCATGTTTATTTTCCTGGAGCTTCCTGTCTCAGGACCATAGGTCTTCCTGCTTCAATGAGGACTACGCACTCTCCATTCCGGCTGCCCCACTGTTAACACAGGAGAGCTTCCCTTTGTTGCTGTCCTGGGTTGACAGCAACCTTGTTTTGCTGGAACACATCCTCTTGTTACTTCACAAGAAATGTGTATGAGGTATAATTTCTCTTTGTATTTGAAGATACATATTTTCTGCCCTCTATTGATTGTTTAGCTGAGAATAGAAATTTTCGATTATAAAACTCAAAAGACATTACTCTTGAATCCAGTTCTATTAAGTCCAGTGCCATCGTAATTCTTGTTCTTTCATACATGACCTGATTCTTCTTTCACAGATATTCAGGGTCTTTTGTTTGTTTCATTCTGTTGTTTTTCAGTATTTTGAAATTTAATAATGCTGTGCCTTTGTGTGCATCTTTTTTTTTTTATAATTTTTTTTTAAATGTTTACTTATTTTGAGGGAGAGAGAGAGAGTTGAGCAGGGGAGGGTCAGAGAGAGAGGGAGACACAGAATCCGAAGCAGGCTCCAGGCTCTGAGCTGTCAGCACAGAGCCCGATGCCAAGCTCAAACTCATGAACCGCGAGATCATGACCTGAGCCCAAGTCGGACGCTCAACCGACTGAGCCACACAGGCGCCCCTGTGTGCATCTTTTTTTATTCATTGTGCTGATGATTAGTGGGTTCTTCAGACTAGAGACTCATGTCCCTCAATTCTGGGAAATTATTATTTCTTGGATGATTTCTCCATATTTTCTCTGTTCATGTTTTCTAGAATTTCTGTTAGTTGAATGTTGAACATCCTGGATTCATCTTCTCAATCTCTTTTATATCATGTTGTCTGTCCCTTTATCTTTTTATTCTACTCTTTAAAAGATTACCGTGAGTTCTTTGTTCTGTTCCCTCAGTGTTTTATCACAAGTAATCATATTTTTCATTTTAGGATTTTCTATTTCTTGGTGGTTGTTTTTTCCACAGCATTGTCTGTTTGTTTATCTTGTGTATCTCTAAGAATAGTAAATAGTGTATTCTTTTTTTAGGTTTTTTTTTTTTTCTATAGGCTAAATTATCTCTGCTTTCCTCCAGGTTACTTTTTCTGCTTGTGTTATGTTTGTGTGTGTTTTCCCTTTTATGCTAGAGGATTTTTTCTTTTAGGTACTGATCCTTGGATGTACATCCATACTTAAAAGTAAGTGTTAAAACTGATTGGAAGCTCTATATACTTGAGCAAGTCTTGGCAAATGGCTGAGCTTTATTTATGAGATGGGCAAGGAGACAACTGTTTTGTTTGGGGAGTCAAAAAGTGGGCATAAGATATTTTTGGAGGGAGCTGTTAGATTTCTCCAGGGAAGAGTTTTCAGATATCCCTCTGCTGAGAGTGTTCTTTCACAAGATAAAGAGGGAGAGGATATGGATTAACCTGCTCCAAATGCACAATTATACCCCCAACTCAAATTTTTAGCTTCTTGCTTCAAAGTCCTCAATGTCTTCAGCGTTCTGGGGATAGCTCTGTAAACACTTTAGTTTATTCTTCTTTAATTTCTTTCAATAATATCAGTAATTTTCAGTGTACAAGTCTTATGCTGCTTTTGTCAGATTATTCCTAAGTATATTAATCTTTTTGAGTCTATAATAAAAGCCATTTTCTTAATTTCCTTTTCAAATTGTTTATTACAAGTGTATAGAAATGCAGCTGATTTTTGTGCATTAGTTTTGTATCCCTCAACCTTGCTGAATTCATTTATTATAATTATTTTTTTGCAAATTTCTCAGGATTTTCTATACACAAGATTATGTCATCTGCAAATATAGTGTTCCTTATTACTCTAAACTGGCTGTCATTTATTTTTTTTTCTTGTCTAATTGCCCTGATTAGAATCTCCAGTGCAATATGGAATAGAGGTGGCAAAAATGGACATCCTTATTTTATTCATGATCTTAGAGGGATACCTCTTTCATCACTAAGTATGATGTTAGCTCTGGGTTTTTTGTAGATAACCTTCTTCAGGTTGGAGAAATTCTCTTCTATTCCTAGTTTATTGATTTTTTTTTTATCATGAGAAAGTACTGGATTTTACCAAATGTTTATTCTTTGTTTAGTGAGACAATAATATGAGTTTTGTTTTTTAGTCTTTTACATTGTGTTCCTGTGGTAAATCCCAATTAGTTGTAGTGTATAATCCTTTTTATATGCTTCTAGAATCAGTTTGCTAGTATTTTGTTGAGTATTTGTGCACCTATATTCATAAGAGGTACTAGTCTCTAGATTTCATTTCTCATGACATTGGCTAATGTTGATAATTGTGCTAATGCTGGACTCCTATGCTGAGTTGGGAAGTGTTCCTTTTTCTTCTGGTTTTTTTTTTTTTGTTTGTTTTTTGTTTTTGGAAGAGTTTGTAAGGGATTGATATTAATTCTTGTTTAAGTGTTTCATAGACTTTACCCTTGAAGCCATCCTGGGGTTATTTTTGTAGATTTTGACTACTGATTCAGTCTTGTTCTATGTTGTAGGTCTACTGAGATTTTATGTTTCTTTTTAATCAGTTTCAGAATTTCTGCAGCATTCATGGTAATACCCCCTCTTTTATTCCTGATTTCAGTAATTTGATTCCTCTCTCTTCTTAGTTTTTCTAAAGGCTTATCACTTTTGGTGTTCTTTTCATAAAACCAACATTTGCTTTTGTTGATTTTCTGTATTGATTTTCTATCCTCTATTTCATTAATTTTTGTTATAGCCCTTATTCTTTCCTTCTTATTTTGGGTTTAGTTTGCTATTTTTTCATTTTCTTTGGGTAGAGTTTAGGTTATTGGGTTGAGCTCTTTTGAAGTAGGCATTTGCAGCTGTAAAGTTTCCTAGAAGCAGCTGCTTTGCTGCATCTCCCAATATTTGGTGTTGTGTTTTTGTTTTCACTTATCTCAAAGTATTTTCTATTTACACTTGTGATTTCCTATTTGACCCATTGGTTGTTAAGGAGCATATTGTTTAATTTCCATGTATTTGTTAATTTCCTGAATTTCTTCTGTTACTGAATTCCAATTCATGCCATTGTGGTCAGAAAATAGTGTATGATTTCACTTTTTTTAAATTCATTGAGACTGGCTTTATAACCTCAGGTACAGTCTGTTTTGAAGAATGTTCCAGGTACTCTTGGGAACAATGTGTATTCTGCTATCTTGGGGTAGAGTGTTCTACAGATGTCTGTTATGTTTAGTTGGTTTATAGTATTATTTAAGCCTTTTATTTCCTTGTTGATCTTCTTCCTATTTGTTCTATCCATTATTCAAAGTGTGGTGTTGAAGTCTCCAAATATTATTGACTTAAGTATTTCTCCCTTCAATTCTGTCAGTTTTTGCAGCATGTGTTTT